TGATGGAATTCATAAAATCTATACAATTTATATGAGAGAACATAAGGAAGTAGGGAAAGATAAACTCTTTTGAAATTTTAGTTGGAATTCCCTTGATGTTATTTGCACCTCCTCGCTTGATTTCTCGAGTTTTTTGATGTTTTGGCCCTTTCAATTTCCTGAAAATAGGTCTTTGATCATGTATTTATAGTATTTTTGGAGTTTTGGACGAATTAGAGTTGAATTGGGCCAAGAAAAGAATCAAAAAAATATTAAAAATCCGTTTTCTCGCCCAGCGGCACCTCAGCGCCCATGATGCTGCCGATTTTCAGCGACAAAGGTGTTGTGCCCATGATGGGCACAGTAGTGCACGTCGTTTGGTATTTCTATAATAACTTTTTCTCCAAATGTCCGGTTGAGATGATTCAAGATGTGTTGGAAGAATAACTCAAAAGGATACAACTTTGATTCAAATATCATTTTCCAATTCGAACGTTTGCTATGTAAAAAATGAGTCTCAATATAAAACTAAAAATCAGGAACATAACTTTTTCGGTTGGAAATTGATGTGTAATCATACTTGTATTATATTTGATCATTTTGACTTCTTTTTTCATCCAATTGACTCCTAACACTCTCGAATGTTCATTTCAACACAACTTTTGATTATTTGCACTTTAGTCCTCGAACTTTGGATCTCTTACAATTTAGCATATTTCCCCAATTTGCCAACTTTTGCTTATTTCTCTCAATTTCATCAACCTATGTCACAACATCAAAACACACAATAAAACGCCCTAAAATTCTCTCAATGATAACAAAATAATGAATTAAGTGGCATAAATATCATGGGTGTAGAACACTCATCAGTCAATGTTCATATTTTAATAAAAAGCATCTCTCGATAGCAATTAAATTTATTCATACATGTGACATTTCTATATCTTTATGAAACATATGAATATGCAAAAAAAAAAAGAGCATTAGATGTGTTAGAACACAACAGAAACTATGTAAAGCTTAGTGGTATATATCTATTCCCTATCGAATTTTACAATGTTTATTATTTTGTGCTAACGATCCTATGTCTCCCTTGATAACAACAAAATCCACAAACAATTCAACTAGTTGCCAATTAATTGAAAATCATGAAAAACAATAATAAACATCCAAAATTCGAAAAGCAAATTAAAGTCAAACTAATTTATTAAAACAAAAGTATCATAACAAGGGTTCGTCTCATCCTAACAATTAAATAACTAGCCTAACATATCGAAATTATAAGAAAATATCATAGTTTTGTATAACATCACCCGGAATTATAAATTAATGAATGAAGGAATATGAATATTGATGTTCTTGAATTTCTTCAAAGCAATCTTGATAAATCTTCAATAATCCTTTCATTTTTTTTGCTCCACAAATCACATGTTTAATCTTCAATTGATGAGTTC